AGGTGCGCAGGACTTTGGAAGATTGAGGTTGAGTTGAGCCTTGGATAGTACGCGCCGGTGACGCAGCCACTTCATATGCGGCTTTGGCGGAGGGTTGAGCCGCGGCAAACAGGATTTTGGCATCTGGGGAAGTGTGGCGCAGAACCTTTGGCTGGGCGCTCCTTCCTGTTGCTCCATTTGAGCCGCTTTTGGCATCATGACGTTGCAGCAGCGAGCACCTTCATGTCGCCTTGCAGAGAGTGTGACGGGGCCTTGTCCATGAATCCACGAGATTTGACGGAGATGGGTATGCCAGATGCTGCCACTTGGGTACGTGGGGGCTGCAGCAAGGTGTGTCATGAAGCACCTGTTGGTTGGAGGAGGAAATATGTAGTGCTACTCCGTACTATGTACTCCGTAGACCTGCACGGACAAGCAGTAGTAGTATTGCAATTGGATCTGGATCCATCGGGCCAATCTCTGTGAAACCTCACTGCCGACCTGGGCGCATGTACGGAGCAATTACTTTCAGTGCTGTGCTCGAATGTTTCGCCTGGGGGTTTTTGCCTCCATGTTTGGTGCGGCTTTGGCATTGATGGCATGACCAGACCGTACTCGCCCCAGCCCACCCATCGATTGCAACCAGACTCCAGCGCGCGGAGATTGAGAGGGCAGAGAATCAATCCACCTGCGACCCAAGTTTTAAAGGCAGGGCGGAGCACCGTTGCCTATCCTGGGCATGGGCAAATTGAAATTGTCCTAGGGCGATCTGACCAGACCCAAGACCAACTTGACTCCAGAAGCACACATGCATCCACACTTGCACACTTTGGTACCGAGACGCGGAGGACGCGACCCTACTCGGCCCAGGACATGGTGGACTCGACCCGCGCTGGAGCCTCCCGTGGATCCGCCTTTGAGGACTTGTTGAGCGCCGTTTTTACTTCCATCCACATGCATCTTTAATCGCCTGGCGGCGTACGTTGGAGCTAGAGCCTAGCACAGACGGTAGACTCCAGGAGCGGAGGTTGCACTCGGTACTCCCTACATGTCTGGTCCTCTGTGCTGCAGAAAACGCCCACCGCCTCACTGGGCCGTTGGCCTCTCGGCCATTGACCAATTGACCGTCGACCCAGACGGATGCAAGGGAACACCAGGGGGCGAACAAGGGGGACCAGTTGACATTACCGCACAATGGGCTCGGGAAACAAAGCATCCTCCTCCCTACGACTCCATCCTCCGTGCTCAGTACCGCCGACACCTGACATCTTCCACCGCTGGCAAACACGGGGCACCAAGCCCGGCTGTTGACACCCGGCAAAGGCGTTTCTCCTGAGACGCCTTGCATATCCACCCCTTTGATCTGTCTAGTTGTGGCTCCCGGCCAAAGTCAACCGACCGGACAATGGATCTCAACGACAACGCGCCCCCTATCCCAACCCGCCACCATTTCCACGTCTCTCAGAGAGAAGCCCGCCATCTACAGCCTCGCCCTTCTCGCAACTCTCGCCGACACTCGCCCCAGCGCACCCCGCGCCCAGTCATCCCTCCGGCCTCTCCCGAGGTCATCTCCAACCTCATCACCAGCCTTGGCGCCATTTCACAACCCACCAGCAGCCACTTTGAATCGCATCCGGCCGCCATCAACTTCGCTTTGCCCACGAGTCCCGTCAGCCCCAGCTCTGGCAGCTTTGGCGTCGATTACGGTGCCTATACTCGCTCCGAGCCTGACGAACCTACCCAAGACCCCTCGTCACTCGACAACCTGGCAGCGAGTGCCCCTATTATTCGTACCTCGAAGCCAACCAGCGGATACTCGCCATTGACAGGCCCCAAGAGCCCTTCGACCCGGAGTACCAGCCGCGAGAGCGGATCTGGTCTTCGTTCATTCATTCGCAGCAACAGCGTAGCCTCGCGTCCATCCTCCCCGGCCTCTGCTACTTCCAAGAATGACGACGCCCACAGCATAGGCAACCTGTCTGTAGAACGTGGATCTGCGCCAACCCCGGAGCTGAAACACCATCGATCACACGACAGCTGGGGGAGAAAGACTGGCCGGGGCACAAAGGGCCTGATGTACATGAGCTCCAAGGAGCGTCTCCGTGAAAGAGAATTTGAAAGAAAAAGATTGCCAAGGAGGTCCGGTAGCCAAAGCGAACCCGGCAGAGGGACCCCCAACAACACTATGACCAACAACGGGGCTCGACCAGACCCCTTTCTCGCCGAAACCGTAATCAACGAAGAGCCTGGTTCTCATAGCGACAGCCCGGGACTGAATGAGCCAAACAAGCTGGATACCCCGCAGCCTATTCCTGCGCGAGACTCGAGCCTAAGAAAGTCACGAACCCATCAAAAACGAACGAGCGCGCGTCGGCCTAAACGAGATAGTGATACACCGGCGGCGGTAGCCATACCAGAGACTGAAGAACATGTCGCCTGTGATTTACCGCTGCCGCAGCAGCATACTCGTACGGGCTCAGGGACAGGCACCCAAGCAAAGTCTTTTTTGCTCGGTCCAGACGAACGCCCGACGTCCCCCGCGTCGTCGGCATTAAGAGCTGCCCAGCCTCTCCCCGATTTTAACATGGACGCTGTGAATTACAATGACGAGGGAGCTGCGCCCTTCCCCGCAGTCGCGCAGGGACGACGGGAAAGCCACAGCGCGGAACGCAGCAGCAGTCGATTATCCGGCCGGCTGAGTCCTGCTCCGAAAGAGGCTCTGAGAATGAAGCGCAGTAGTTCGCGTCTGAAGCGGTTGTCAGGCCCTCTTAGCCCTCGCAGTGAATCTAGAACCAGTGCGGCTGCCTCGCCCGAACCCTCGCAGCAGGCTCAGCAGCAGACCTATCCTGCCGGCTACGAACGGCCCGGATCCGCAGACTCAGTAGATGATGCTGTTGAGTCGTACCTCTGTTCTCCACGTCTGTCTCAAAAGATTCGACACCCTCAAACAGGTCGAGTTATTTCCTTCTCAGAAGTCGGCGATGCAAATGGATCAGCAGTTTTTTGCTGTGTCGGTATGGGCCTGACAAGATATATCACGGCCTTCTACGATGAGCTGGCATTGACTTTGAAACTTCGCCTCATTACACCCGACCGACCCGGAGTTGGTGATAGCGAGCCCTATACCGATGGGACAACCACTCCTTTGAGCTGGCCTGGTACGTATCCTACTCACCACTCGTGTGACAGAACAAAGGTTCAATTGCTGACTGGTGCAGATGACGTTTATGCTATTTGCCAGGCGCTAAAGATTACCAAGTTTTCGATTCTTGCTCATTCAGCAGGCGCAATTTATGCTCTTGCAACGGCGCTGCGAATGCCCCAGCATATCCGCGGACGAATTCATCTCTTGGCGCCATGGATTCCCCCATCCCAGATGAATGTGTTTGGTGCATCTCAAACGCTGCCCCCGACCAATGCTATCCCCACATCGCAAAAGATTTTGCGTGCATTGCCAACACCTCTCCTGAAGGCGGCTAACAGCAGCTTCATGACGGCAACAAGTAGTTCCATTACGAGCTCTCTGCCCAAGAATCCACGCCGCGCTAAACGCAAGTCGAATACCCACGGCAAAGATGGCAACACTGGTAATCGCAATGGCATGCCAGTCAACGATGAGGAGAACCTCAACAGCACCCCCCAAGGAAAGGACAGGCCAGGAGGAGGCCAAGCGGAGAATGGGTTCGACTCTCCTAATATGAGCGAGCACATGGACCAAATTCAGCCCGTTGGGGGTCATGGCGTGAGTGGAGGCTCGGTAATGGCCGAGTCCACGCTTGATATCATGACGGACAAGGAACGGCAAATGACCTACGACACGCGCCTTACCCACGCTATTTGGGAGCTGGCCACCACGGGGGCCAATCCCGCCGTTGACCTTTTGGTGTGTCTGGAGAGAAGGCACACGATTGGATTTCGCTACGTCGACATCACACGGCCCGTGGTCATTCATCACGGCAGCAGGGACACGCGTGTGCCCGTCGAAAATGTCAAATGGCTCGGCAAGACGATGCGGCGCTGCGAAGTGCGCGTCTTGGAAGGCGAAGGACACGGCTTGATGGCCAGCGCAACCGTCATGGGCTCAGTCTTGATGGAAATGAGCAAGGAGTGGGACGATTGGATGCGGTTGACGGGCGCGGATGGACGAAAAGACCGCGAGAGAGGACGGCGAGGGACGATTGTTCGCTAAGGTGCCAAGATGTTGCATCACTCATTTTGCATAAGAGGTGGACGCGAATCATTTTGGGATGTGGATGTGGCGCCACGACCGAGTGCATCCGATTTTCATTCGTTTTGTGACTGGATACCAGGTATCGCTGATCGAACGGAAGCGCGGAAAGTAATACCACGACCATGATACCCCGGTATTACTTTGCGTGCGTTGTATCAATATAAATTAGCAGACTGGAGGGGTCCATGTATAATGGGGTTGCAGAGAGGGACACATATATCTAATGAGCTTGGGCATTGCTTGGCGTAAAAAAAGACAAGAAATAGAGCCCTTTGTATTTTCTTTGGGGTGTAATTGAGACGACTGCGGTGTACTTTTGCCGCGGCTGACGTTTTGGACATCATGCGTGATTATCTGGAGAAGGTTCAAGCCTCTTTGTCGATGAGCCGTAGCTCAGTTGTCAGCGGCAGTTTTTTGGCGAGTCTTGGCATTGGCAGCGGACAGCTGTTTGTGATGGATTCGTTGATTATATTCTCCGGCACAGAAGTTGTACTGCACGTTGTTCTTGCACTAGTGCCGTGCCATTCTGGATTTGTCTCCATTCGTCTAGGCTAAACGTTTCTTACGGCAGGCACGATCTGTCAGCTGGCACTCCGTGTTCTTAAAAAAAAAGAAGAAGATAAAAAAGGAAGGCAGCTGGTTGTCAGCTGGTCAGACCAGTGGGCATGGAAGCATGGAGAATGTCTAATCCTCGCGCCAAAGTTTACCTTCCATCTTCAACACCCAGCAACTCAACCATCTGCTTCGTCGTGCGACCCCATTTGTCAAATTCGAACTGTGTTCATCTACCATGTGGAAAACCATCATTATTGTCCGTGTTGCTCACGGCATTGTGATCCTAGCGTCGTGGCTTCTGCACTGGTTCTTCATACTGGAAAGGCTTTCCCTGCGGCCCCTACGTCGCTCGTTCTTGGAATTTAAAAGTCACTATGGCCCGCTTCGTGCCATACTCCTGGTTCTTATTTTCCCAGACGTTCGCAATGAGCTTGATCGTATTCAGCGAGACATACTCGATCCGCCTGTCGATGACTCCATAGCTGCAGAGAAGGCAATGAAGCTGAAGGAATCTATATCTGAACGCTGTACTACGCTTTGTAGTCCCGTATGCGCTTCTTGTCCCCCTCTGCTGTCGATGTTTTTTTTATTCTTCTGCATGGGCTAACAGGCGATTCTGCAACCCAGGCATTTGATGTGGTACAATTGTCCCTGTTGGCATTGTCGCTTCCTAACCTCCTCCCCGTATCTTGGGTGTCCCTGATAGCCCTCGTCTTCAGCATGACGACTAGCACAGTGTCTGTCATACTCGCATTTACTTTGCGACAGCATATGGACAACCTCTTGGAACCTCATGATGTGAAGAAGTGGTTTGGCAGACCCGCCGACAAACAAGGAATCCCCGCGGACGTTGACAGGCAGGTCTGCGAAGACTCGCCTCGTGGTCTCAAGCATAAACAAGCTGGTGAAGCGACTTACGACATGAACTGCCCAGACCGCGTGGTGAGGGTGAGGGCACCGATGGAAAGCATGCGTTGGAAGAATGTATCGTTCCATGCGGTCCTTATGATGAAAATCCCGGCCATGTTATCGGTTTGGTCCTCGGGAGCTTTTATACTTGGGGTTGGAGTATACACAATGGCCCATTGGGCTTTGAATCTGGAAACTCCCAACTTTGACAGAGCAGATTCTTCTCAAGACGGATGCAGCTCTCTGGTCATTCTCGTCGCGTATAATGTTGCCATGGTTCTTGGTCTGCTGCTGGTCTTGGTGCCAAGCGTTCTAAAGTATGTCCAGGATGCACCCCTCCGACAACTCGACGAGGCCACGAACCCAAAGAAAGGTCAGTCTAAGCTAGACTTTGAAAGCCGCTTCGGGGACTTTGAAGAATACTTTAAAGACCCTAGAGAGATTTTTAAAGACATTAAAGAATGTTGTAGAAACTTTCGAGACACCTTTCGCTACTTTGACGAACTTTATGCAGAGTTTGAAGATATCTTCTGGGAGTTGACAGGGGAGCCGGGAAGTTCTGGAACACAGGCGGGCGAGCACTCCGATATTCTTCTAAATGATTCGGCAATGATTTCCGGAAACACACTTACCCATGAGAATACACAAACGCAACAATCTTGCCAAGAGGAGAGTAGACAGAGGAACAACATTGCGAAGGAAGCCACGCAATCGGATGTCGGGGAGGGCGGCAAACCTGGCACTGGCTATTCTTCTCCTGAAGGAGGGCTCGGTAACTCGCAGGGACAGGCTCTCAGTTCGACATATGGTATTAATTTCAAGCAACCGATCCCGGAACTAATGAAGCGCAGAATGGAGCTTATGATCAAGGCCCAGAAGCGAAACATCACACGCTTGCAACTAATGCTACGGAAGGTGGAGACAGTGTTACCGAAGAAGGGTACAATGTCACTGAGGGAGAAGACAGCGTTACTAAGGGAGGAGACAGCGTTACTGAGGGAGGAGAAGGCGTTACTGAAAGAGGGTACAGCGTTACTGAAGGAGGAGGCAGCGTTACTGAAGGGAGCGTTACTGAAGGAGGCAGCGTTACTGAAGGAGGAGACAAACAGGTATAAAGGAACCGCTGTTTCTGCTTCGGTGTGCGCCTCTGAAGGCTCATCACTTCCCCATCAGGAGTCTTGATGAATGAATTGTGATGCGCCACAACGCGTGGCAGTCATGCAGGTATGGCATCTTGCTCGTTATCTTCGAGCATATGCTCAGCAAAAGTCTTATGATAGGCAAGGCATTAATCCGAGGCAGAGTACTTGAAAATACATATAATCTTGAGATATCATTGCTGTCACCTTATGGACATGGCTCTTTTTGACATGTTATCCCCTATCGGCGGCCAATTGCTTGGGTTTCGAATCGCATCGCTTGCGTGACAGAAGTAAGCGTCAACAGCCACAGCATATTGCGTCGCATTTCCTGCCTTTTCCGATCGTCTTGGCATTTCGTGGAGGAAGGAAGTTTCTGTTTCATTATATATGGGTGGTTTGGAATTATATCACTAGATTACAGGCGGCCAGTGGATATTCTGGCGCACTTGTTTTATGGTGCAAATAGTCGACGTTGTAGCTTGGGGTGGATGGAATTGGCTCGGAGTGAATGAGCGCGGCGGGAAAAAGGAAGAGAAAAAAAGACTAGAAGAGAACGTAATGTCACAGTAGGTAGCTAAGTTATGAACATGCATATATTACGCCTGACCCGTTATCTCGCCGTAATGAGCGCATCTGGCGTATGTGGCCAGCGTCTATGATTCCACAGGCTAAACTCACCTTACATGCTAGCAAATGAGTACCGCTGCCGCGTGCAGCATACATCTCAGGAAAGTGGATGTTTTCTATCGGCAGCTTGACCGAAAATTTGTGTCCCAGCAGGCTGTCTCGCTGTCCACCAGTGCTGTCAGTGTACATTAGCTGTTCTTGTCCTTGGCGTCTGTGGGCGTGACTGGGCTATTATCGCGAAAAGGGTGTATGAAACTTGCGAAAATTTGGCTAGAAGCCGTATCAAGACTTGAACCCATGCCACAGTGAGAATTATCGAATTGTTATCTAGTCACAGCGAAGGTGGTTTGAAGTGGCGCGCATGCTAGCCATTCAAGTTGCGAATTAGCAGCGCCAGGAGCAGATCATTTCGGGAAGCTTCCGTAGCTCAGTTGGTTGGAGCTTCGTACTAATAAATGTTAGTGATGCGGAGGCCGCAGGTTCAAGCGCCGCCGGGAGCAAAGATCGTTCCACGATGCTTTCCGAGCATTTCTTTTTTTTAACTGCTTTCATCTATTATGATTTTTTATTCCTCCTTTTTATTTGGTCACTGACCGAATGAGTGCGTTATATTTCTTGCAGTACCAACTGTCCAACAGCCAGTCCACGGGCAGGAGTGCAACATTGGTCTTCTCAGTAGCTGCAATCATCACTGGTATTAAAGCTGATATTCCAGTCATTTCCGTCGTGAATTTTTTCATTTAAAAACACCAAATTAAACATGCGCCGCGTGCAAACACCATCACGGCTCCTCCAAGACCCGGGTCCAGTCAAACTTCCTCCATCCTCTTTTCCACTCATCCACACGCGCATCGCCACGCACCCACCGGCCCTGCTTCTTGACAATGTGCGGCTCGGCATCGCATATCCCGCCCAGGACTTCCCTTGCAAACAAATCGCCCCTGGGCCAGCGGTCCGCATTCTCGACAATGTGCCCCAGCCCGCCATCCAGCGAGAACCAGACGTGGAAGTAGGGCATCTCCTTGGCGATGCTCCTCCTGAAGGCCATTCTGCCCATGCCGTCACGGGCCTTGGCCGCTGTATCAATGACCTTTTTGTGCTGCGACCACTCCTCGTCGCTGGAGAGAAAGGCCTCTTTAAAGTATGCCGGCGCCGTGGCGCCCTCTTGGTAGGGAATGGGGACGGCAACCATGGCCGCGTGCATGTGGCGATGCGGCACGGCGGCGTTCTCGTAAAAGATGACGTCGCGCCCTTGGTCGTGGTACATGCGCGTGAGGCTCTTCATGAAGTTGCGAATCTCCTCCCACTCGTCGTCGTCGCATTCCAAAAGGTTGCCGCGGTGCGTGATGGGCACGATGACGGCGCCGCCGGGACTGATCTCGGGCTCGGTGGTGAGGGTCACAAAGACGCGCGTGCCGAGGGATATGACGGGTGCCAGGGGCGGGCGGCCCTTGTCTTCGTGGTGGCACAGGGGGCAGTTCTCCAGGATGCGGTTCATCTTTTGGAACTCGTTGACGGCCATGTTCTTGAGGTTGATCTCGCTCTTGTGCACGCGTTTGGCGAGCTTTTCTGCGTTCTCATCCATGTAGTCCAGGTCGTTGTCGTACTTGGCGTCCTTGGAAATGCGTTCTGCGAGACGCAGTCCTTCGCCACCTAGCTGGTTCTTGGTGCGGCGTTCTTCCCTGACCATGTCCTCGATGGACATGTCGTTGTTTTCTTCCACAAGACCCCTCTCGCGGCCGCGTTTGGTGTCGACAGCCTTGACCTCCCCTCTGGTGCCGGCCAACTGGCGGTTGTCCATTATGCTGAGGACGACGGCCTCGGGAGCATTGGGCCGGGGGCCGAGAGCTGCGGCGCGATTGTATTCCGCCTCCAGCTGTGCGGCGTTGGGGGCCCGGCGCAACTTGGCCTTCATCATCTGGGCGCGGAGGCGGTTGAGAGATGTTTGGTCCATGGCTGCATTCCGTGACGGTTCTTCGGGTATGACAGTGCCTGAATCTGGTTCTGCGGCGGCAGCAGAGTCGTCATGTGCCCTCGACTTGTCGTGTTCTCGAGCTCGATACAGGTCTCCCGTGGGCCTTTCCTTCTCCTTGTACCCTTCACCGTAGATCCTGCGCCGCTCCATTTCTTCCTTCTCTTCTCGCGCGTCATCAAAGTCTTGTAAGCTGCCGTAGCGCTCCATCGCCACGTCTTCGACTGGCCGTCCACTTGCTTCGGCAGTGGTGTACACCCCCCGCAGCTTTGTTAAGCGCCATGAAGAGCCCGAGTCGCCAAATACGTAGTCGACTTTTCTCTCGGCGGTGGGTTGCTGCATGTCAGACAGTGACGATTGTTGGTCTAGTTGGTGGATGGTTTGATTGAGTTCGCGGGAGTGGGTGATTCGCTTCGGTTGCTGCGGAGGCGGCGATGGAGGCTTGCTTCTCTCTGCGCGGTGTACATGCTCTACCTCGATGGACGATGGCGCCGTCATCCATGCATCACGCATGGGAGCATCAGACGAGCCCCCGTTACTCGATGACTCCCGCCCCGTCTCTGGCCGGCGTTGCGAATGGCGTTCCCTGCTTCTGTGGCCATGGTGCCTGTGTCTCGACCGGTGCGCGTCATCGGCTTGGTCGTGAGAGTGTCGACTTCTCTTGTGCCTATGGCCGTGGTCGTCTTCATGGTCTCGGCGGCGGTGATGGCTGTGCTCTCCGTCTCTTTCTCTGTCGTCGCGGTCGTTGTGTCGATGATGATGTCGGTGTTTGCGATGGCCTTGATGGCGGTCTCGATGCTGTTCTGCCCTTTCTGCCTTTTCGCGCTCCAGCCGTTCGGCGGCAAGAGATTTTTCAAAGTCGTCTAGGCCATCCATGGCGAAGAATTAGGCTGGACCATGGACTGGCGACGGCGTGGGAATATCTTGATGCAAGGATGTTTGCGCCAGAAGCTGAGCTGGGAGCTCCGAGTACTTGGGCAGATGGATAGAAGGCTGGTCTGCCGACGGTGGAGCCACCAGAGAGAGTCTAGACGAATCACGACGTCGGACTCACCAGACCAGACCAGACGTCTTCCAGTTCTACATGTACGACAATGTAGGAGAATATCATATAATATATTATATTAATGTTTAATTGTTTTACTCTGTAGTCAAATAAAATTACACGCATTGTACAAGTATCGTGCAAGCGTAAAATCTAAAACAGTATTGGGCTGTACCAGGCCAAGGACACTAGGAGACTAGAAAAGTAGGCCGTCTCAGCGCAATTGGTGCCGCGCCATAATATCAAATATTATATGATATAGTGTGACAGCTGGATGGCCGATCTGGTTAAAAAATAACTACTGATGAAGGTAACCAGGTTTACCAAGCGCCTAGATAGGGGCGGATTCCGGAGCCCATTAAATTTTGTAACAGGTCACTCTGGGAGTGCGATATGCCTTAATGATCTATTTGACCAACTGATGCCTTATTAATAGGGTGGTTTTGAAGACACCTGATAAGCGCCGCTGGCCCCAGGGTATGTTTATAGAGATATCCAGTGTCACACGGACATGGCCCAATATTTAAGGTTACACATAAAGTCCCTCACCGACTTCTTGTATTTAAAGACGTCTTTGGCCAACAAGGCCTTGAGGAAAACCAAGGACCTTTGATACAAAAGACTGTTATGAGATGAATTGAGCTATTTGATCCAAGCGCTCTTGAGCCCTTTTCACACCAGGTTCGTCCAGGACAGGGAGATGTCGCAACCCTAAAGTTCAACCCCAAATGTGCATGTGCAGGAGTGAATAAAGGGCATCAAGTTCAAGCGCACGGGTTGTGTCCTCGCCATTGCCGACGCCAGTCGTACGGGTTCACCTGGTGCAGTCATCATGTAAAGCACTTTGGCAACCTGTGGTGTGTTCTCGGGCCCAGCAGGGTGAAGCTACTTATGCATGACTTGGCTCCTTGAGGCCGCATATGTCCTGGTACACAATTTAACTCTAACTGAAGAGGCAGTGTACAAATTGCAATTCAAAAAAGACCTAGGTGGAGGCGTAAGGTAGCGGTTATAATGTATAACAAGTACAGCTTGCTGCTTGATATTCAAGGTTACCTCTACTCCGTAGAGCACATGCATCGAGGGCGGCCCGTGACGGTGCCTCGTCTCATGTAAACTTGACACATCTCATGATAACATGGCGCATGATACAAAAACTTGATAAAAAGATGATGCTTGGCGAATTTGAGTTTTGATAATATATAAATGACTCGCTATTGCCACATATAATAAGTGCATTAACAAATATATTGGATTATTAGGCGTAGCATGAGTCATGCTTGTGTGCATCATCTAGCAGTGTAGTAACGTCACCGGTCGCACAAGTTAAATCATTCAATACTTTAATCCGAGTCAGAATACGGAGTAGTCTCCAGCTCTATGGTTTCATGTTTACGAGTTTATGCCTTGCTGCCAGCTCAAATGAGAGGCCTTCCGATAACGCAGCCCGTATACACGCGTCGTGTACCGCTTCCAAGGCATCGAATGCTCCAGTATAGTACCAGTATAGTATGAGGGTATGAGTCTGGGCAACATGCTAGTCAGTTCGATTTATGCATGTGCAATTACGTGACCCTTGGAAACGCAGCTCTCAACACAATACGCCGTCGTATATAAATAACAAGCCTTGCCCCTATCTTGTTATTGAGATTTAAATCACGCCGTATTCTGCCAACTTGGTTTCTTTTAAAAGCAAAAAAAAAGCCTTTTTACACTACCTACCAACTATGAAGTACTCTATTACTCTCGGTTCTACTTTTATCGCCGCCGCTCTCGCGGGACCTGTTTGGACGCCACCGACAAGAGATTGTCCGGGGGTCGGTTCAGTCGAACTATTTACGCGTTTTCGAGACATGCAAGACGAGTTCTGTGGAGGCGAAAACAAATTTGGTATATCAGAGTCCTCATGCAAGCTCGAGGTTCGTCGTTGTGTCGAGGGCATCAAGCGCGTATGCTCAGTCGACGATGGCGCTAGTCAATTGGAAAAGTGCATGGACGATAAGAAGAATACCCATGATGAACTTGGATAGTCGGGAGCTGGGAAAACTCCCGGGCGTGGTAGTGGCGGGAAGCCCAAGGATGACGGTGACAAGGGCTCGTTATGAGGGCTTGGAACGTAAAGGTTCAATTCAATAATAATCTCGTAGGATATCAAAGGGCCTGAGTTGCTAAGAGGAAGGAAGGGAAAGGTGACCGTTATATATACATGAAATGAACGCCCGGGCCTAGGGCTCTTGCCCGGGCATGTGTTCAAGCCGTGTAACCAACAAGTCCCGTATCGGTGAAGCCCCTTTATTGGGCTTCACGATCTGTTGGGCCTTTTTCGTGTAACAATGCCGATGACATCACATTCGATGATGCCGCCCTCCCTCCCACCAATTTCGTCATGGACAAGGCTCCCTCTGGTTTCGAGAAGGAATAAGGTCCCCCTGCCTCCTTCGGGATAGTCTGGTTTCAAGAGGGATTATATTCTATAGCCTGGGTACTTGACAAGAGTCAAGGTTGGGTCTATTTAGCCATTTGCAATAGTAAAGGCGGAATATATCAAACGTGGATTATCCAAAGACCGGTTCAAAGAAAAAGGCAACAGTGAAATACTGCCACCAATACGGAGTAATATAGGCTACCGATGCGCTATACAGTCAAGTACTATGAACACATAAACAATACAGCGCGACCTGTATCAAGACGGCCATGACCGACCGACGTTGCTTACCCATACAATTATAGCCACGACGCAAGCAATAAATGCAGCGAATAGTGCCGAAGCTCTTCTTTGTTTGGAGTAAATTACTAGATGCCATATTGTCAGACGGAAATGGCCTGTTACACAAGGGCTACGATCACGGAACCAAAACCAGAGCATCAAACCGTCTTGCCAGGATTGTTTCCGTCCCGCTTGGGTCTTGATTCGGCGGGCATCGGTGTCGGCAGGCCTGAAGGCGTCGTCGCTTGGTTATGGCAACGTTGCGCATTCGTGAACCGTCGACAGTTGTTCCCACTGCGACAGCTACCTCTACAGGCGGATTCGCACGCTTGGTCTAGCAACCGCTTTGCAAGAGGAAAACACCTCCGCCAAATAGCACATGGAATAGGCGTTTCAGAAAATTATTCTGAGTCGTCAACTCAATTCATCAAAGCATCACGAGCAAACAGTCGTTCAGGGAAGTGGGCGTCGTAACGTCCCGCTTCGCGAATATGTAGAGTGGCAGAGCATGCTGCCAGTTCATCCACATAATTTTGTATTTTGTCGGCGTTATTGTCGAGGAACAGCTCGAACACCCCCTTGGAAGTTTGAAACATGTACGAGGCGTGGATATGCCATTATCATCCCATATGCGCACTGGATTTCTCGACAAGACGGTTATTCTTGCGCACCGACCCATAGGGTTGATGCAATTCGGAAGTAGTGCCTACTGATACCGGACATGTTGCTTCTGGTTAATTACAAGCCGTAGTCGTCTGAACCGCTCGATCCAGCCACCCGGGTAACTAGGGTTGGCTCGTCGGAAACCAGACAACCTGTGCACAGTCAGGATTGGCAGGCTTTGCGGCCCAAACCACCACGGCGGCGTTTAACCACCCGCCCTGTCACGGGACGCAAGGTCTGGCTGTGCTGGTTTCCAGTAGTGTGCTGCCGATGCTGGCGTCTCCGGACACGCTGGAGCCCTTGCCCGGTTTCAGAGCCAGGGCTGACGAGTTTTTCGTTCCTGATGTTGCTTTTGTGTTCCCCAGCTCCAGAGGTCCATCAAGAAGCTCGCTTTCCAGACGGGCTGTGTGCGACTGAAGGCAATCTGCTTCCACTGCCCAATAGCCCTCGTTATCAATAGATTGTCGGTGCTCGTCAGTGTCAATGTCTTGTTGTTTTAGGAGAGCTTCCACGCCGACACAGATGTTCCGCCATCGTTCCGCCTCAGGTCTGTCCTTTTGCGATTGTCGTAGGTAAGCTTCCAGCAAAGTTAAAGCCTCGACTTGCCAGTAATCTTTGTCAGATATAGTATGGCGCGCGCCATAAACGAATGCAGCATCGAGATTGTAAGCTGCCAGCTCGGCTGACCATTTGTTGGAGTGTGCCATCTCTGTCGGGAAGTTGATCTCAGGGGTGAGCTGTCGGAGTCTATTATCGAGTTCGCTTACGTCCAGCTCGGGCAGAGGAAACCCAGGGGGCGGTGTATTCATTGTACGTGATGCGTCGCGCGGGTTTTACAGCGGTTGTGTCGAGATGTTTCCTGGCGAATGTTGCGTGATGCACATGCGTTGTCTCGTAGAAATCAGTGAACACGGGCCATCACGCGTCCGCATCCCTTTTGACCTGAAAGCACAGCGTAACCTGTTGCCTGACAGCACAAAATACGGAGTAGACTGACGAGTACAACGTCAACTGGCATATATCAGAAGAGGGTGTCTTTATACTACTCAAGTATGTTCAATGAGACGGCTATCTATCGGCTTACTGGATGAAAGTCGAAGCTCTCAAGTTCCTAGGTACGTAATTTACATCGAAATCTGACAGTACTTCCCACCCTATATCTCAACCGACAGCGAATAGCGTCGCGACAAGGCAGCCGCAAATGTGGTCAATATTTTGCCTCTAGTGTGGCGCGTCAGAGGGCCTAGAGCGCCGGGTTCAATGTTACCTTTAGACCATGAATGCCAGCAGAGCCGCTTTCAGAAACACTTGTCGTGACTGAAAGCGGTGCCTCAAAGCGATGCAATGTTCCCCACTTCAAGACACGTCTGGTCCTTGCCGTGAAATAGAGGAGAAAACGCCAACGTCATATCGTCCACCGAGTACATGTACCCGTTGGCAACCAAGCACTTGAGAGCTTCAGCTTTAACTTTAGCCTCGGATAATCCTCAAATGCTGTCTGGTGGAACCGCCAAGGTTTGAACCCCGCACCGGTCTCTCTAGCTCCGGGGTAAGGACTCGGATATATTTATGGATTGATGTCGAATGTCGAGCTCAAATGTTGGATGCGCAACCTGCGACCGCGCAACCAACCAGCCAGTAGTTGCACCATCTCACTTTGATCACAGCTACCATGGCGGGCGGACCGTCTTTGGCTTCCTCGGGAGCAATTCTAGTCCTGGCCATCTTTGCGGCCTTCTTTTATACCGCCGAGCTACCGCGCGCCAAGGTTGTGCTTGGCTTCGGACGCAAGCAAGGCAGCACCGTCGTCGCAAACGCCAACGACTTCCACACCATTCCCGACACCGTCCACTGCGAGGATCTTCACTACCACGAGCCCAGCCGTCTCATCTTTACTGCCTGCGAAGGCGTCGAGGCCACCCGATATGCCTGGTTTCCCGCCCTGGGCCACTTCGACGACCCCAACGTGGGCCTCAAGGCCCAGGGCAGCATCGAGGTCATTGATCCCAATGTAGGTATACACCCTTCCCCGAGCTTGGTCACGGTGACTATATGTGTTGTATTGACGCTCGCCCGCGCAGACGATGAAGGCAAAGAAGCTCAAGTTCACCAATTTCAACGGGCCGTTTGTGACGCATGGCATTGACGTCATCGACGATCCAGACAAGCCCAAGGGCAAGGCCGTCTACCTCTTCGCCGTCAACCATCTGCCGAATCCCGCCTTCGCCGAAGACGCCAGCGAACCCAAGGCGCGCTCCATCATCGAAGTCTTCTACTACGACATTGGCAGCGATTCCGTCGAGCACGTCCGCTCCGTGTGGCACCCGCTCATCACCACGCCCAATGACATTGTCGCCGTGTCGCCAACCTCGTTTTTCGTCACAAACGACCACTTCTACCGAGACGGCATCAAGCGCGAGATCGAGACGCTCTACTTTGGCGCCAAGTGGTCCAACACAATCTACGTCGAGTTCACCGAGCTTACCGACGGCTCCTTCCGCGACAGCGACGTCGAAGTCAAGGCCTCGGTCGCGCTCGACGGCGTCCACAACAACAACGGCCTGGGCCACGGCCGGACGCCGTCCGAGGTTCTGGTCGTCAGCTGCGCCAGCGGCAGGCTGCACATTGCCGACGTCGTCTCACCCAAGAGCGACGGGGAATCGCCCAAGATTGCCATCCGGCAGTCTGTCGCGTTTGATTCCACCCTGGACAATCCCAGCTGGTTCCGTGACCCGTATGCCAACTCGACGTACGATGCGAGCGGTCTTGTTGTCGCTGGTCTGCCGAGAGCCGTCGACCTGGCGAAGAACCAACACAATCCTCGGGGCACAGACGGCGCTATTGTGTGGAAGGCTACGCCTTCTCGTGACAAGACGGCCGGCAACGAGGAGATGTGGGTGAACCGGCTTTTGTTCGAGGACGACTCGACGCACATCCGGACGGCGAGCGCTGCCGTTCTCGTTGCGATTGATCCGGCGAAAGAGAAGGGAGAGCGCAAGGCTTGGTTATTTGTGACGGGCTTCATTTCAACAAACGTGGTCGCGGCCAAGGTGGCCTTGTGAGCGACGAGGTGCAACCTGCACCGCCGGGGAGTCATGCAGGGACTCCATTCAACATTGCAACACCTATCGAGTATGCTATTTTTGGGTCAAAAATGTGCAAGGAATGTAGAGTAACTAAACACTCACTGTTAGACGCCGCGGCGTCGTAGATACGAGACATGAATGGGATTTGTATTTCTTCTTTCCCCTCTCACCACGTCTATAGTCTTGATGTCCTTCTATTACACGCTCTTGTTCACAGCCCAGGGCACATGCCACCGTGTAGCTCACCCGACTCGTGCCCTTACTCCTGGCAATCTTCTTGACCGTAGTCTCGCCACACAAGTCAGTCGTGTCGACGTGCGTCCCCCCGCAGGGATAGACGTCGGCACCGACGATGCGCACAACGCGGAACTTGTCCTCGCCGGGGGGCAGCAGGCGCCGATCGGGAATCAGCCGCGCCAGGCCCTCTCTGCAAAAGTCGCGCTCGGTCCAAAACTCGACCTCGACGGGCATCGACCTCGCCAGGTATTCGTCGACGCGCCTCTGGATCGGCTCCTTCCACTTTCCCTCTATGGCGCCCTTGAACTCGCAGCCCGCGCTGTCGGGGAAGTGCGAGGCCTTGAGCTCGTCGAAGCCGGGGATTTCCGTCTCGAGCAGACTGCGCACGGCGGAGCCCAAGACGTGGCCGGCCGTGTGGAGGCGCGAGTGCAGGAGGCGCTTTTCCACGTCCAAGACCTGCGTCACTTGGTCGCCGGGCTGGACTTGGGACGCTGCGGCGGGCGTTGGGAACGAGCCGAGGTGCAGCACTTGCGAGCCGTGGACGGCGTCGATGCGGACGGCCTTGACGTGGAAGGACGAGGTGTGGTCTGGCGGTGAGTCGGCTGCCGTGGTGCCGTTGGGGCTCCAGGTGATGAAACCCTCGTCGGAGGGCTGTCCGCCGCCCTGAGGGTGAAATATGGTCTCGCTGGTTACCATGACAAAGTCGTCGTCGGAGCCATTCTTGAAGAGAAGTCGATTGGCGTCCTCCAAACTCGCAAAGGAGCGGACCGAGTGCACCTTTGTCACGAGCTCCGTGAGCTTCCCGTCGTACTGATATACATGTTTTGTCTTGCCGGGTACTGTCATTTTCGGTTACTGGTATCAATTGATGGCATCGAGGGAATCGGCCATGGTGGAGGGCTTTTCTAGTCATGACGAATTGTTCTAGAAATCTCTGGCCGAGGCCCGAGGGTGTGGGGCCGTTGGTTCTACGCCCTTGGCGTCGTCGAAGGGCGGAAGTCAGTTTCCCGAAGTGTCTGCAGCGGCAAATGTCTCGTTGAAACCAAGTCTCTCTTTGCCCGACTTGTCTTGGACTTGTCTAAAACTGTCGCCATGGTGCATAGCCTTTGCTGCGGCGGCTGCTAAAAATAAAAAAAAATAAAAAATAGAAAAAGAAATAAAACAAAAAACTCTTTGCCATAGTGCCGGCAATGCCCAGGAAAACATGTCGAGTCCATTCCGCCTTGGTGTGGTTGATTGGCGGGTGTCGCGTGCTTGATGCTTGAACAGGTCAACTGGTCGATATCGTGGTAACGACGGTGGCTTGGCCTATCGATCAAAGCCTCTTCTTATTGGGTCAATGTTTCCACTCCATGGCTTCCTGTCGGGTGGCGTTTCGGGTTATAGGTGAAAGACTCTTTGAAGTCGACCACAGCCATATTGGCTGGTTAACAGCAATGTTTAACAGCATAAATGACCATGAGTGAAAAAATACGACACGGTTCCCCGTTCCCGTCTCCCATTCGTGGGGTAGCATTCGACGGATCAAATAAAAAAAAAGTACAGCCACGTGGTCCATGGCCGGGAACTTGGCGACTCGGTGGTGCCAATTGTTTCCATTGTTGTACAGCGCGTTTTCCAACACGGCAGAAACGGGATTTTTGCTCACATGCCAAGGACAGAGCAGTGTAGTGCAGCTTGACCCGTGATTTCCCAGTACTACATGTACTACATTATTTAGTCCCGTCTTCCTTCTCCAATGGCTCCACAGAACATCTTGTTCGAGGAAGCTAATCGTCATGTGGCCGGCATCCGTGATTCCATTGGCCGAATCGGCTGTGCAACTGCCGAAAGTTGACGGGAACCTGGTTAGACTGCTACCCAAGTTATCAATAACTAGATGAGAATGGACACCGAGGTGCCTTTTTTTGATGAGCAAACTCGTCGGCTAGCGAATCCTGGCTTCATTTATGCACGACATCGCAGGGGATGCAAGTCTCCTTGCATCAGACATGCCCGCCGCGAATCCACCCTCGTGGCCGCGGCACCGACCATTATTGGTCTTGACTGTCGTTTGAATGGTCCGTGGACGTGGGTCACGGGGATACAAATCATCTCGAACACTGTCGAAATGGATGGCATTGTTGAGACAACGTGGTCTTGTGCAGAGTCCATGTATTGGGGAGCTGTATGCGTCGTATTACCACCCATATTTTTAAAAGACAAATACACGTACATTTCTTTTTTTCCCATGTCTACAACACACCAAGGGGTGTGGCCTATCAGGGACTTGACTAGTTCAAGCTAGCCGTCGTGCATACAGCGCTCATGCATAATAGACGGACTCGTTCTACGCCAAGCGATGCTTTCCCGTTGCTCATGCTAGCTCTGTTCTATAAATTCTAGGTTCCCCATGTTTCACCTGATTTCCCCCCGAACCATGGCTGGATAGGTTTCTGTTCTTGCAAAGTCACCCCCCATGAGAAATGGCTGGACTACGATTCGCTGGCCTTGCGCCAATCTTGGTGCTTTGTAGCTCACTTGCTGGAAACGTCAACGCTGCCGGCTTGGCGGACATTGACCATGTCGTCCTCTTCATGCAAGGTAATCACGTCTTTGAACTTTGGTATGCTTGTGTTATTCATTGAGTTGACATTGACTCACCGGACTTGCTAGAAAACCGCGCGTTTGATCACTACTTTGGTACCATGGCTGGTGTTCGTGGATTTGGTGACGCAAACCTTCAGAAAAATAACGGCGTGCCCGTTTGGAAGCAGCTCACTACTCGGCAGCAAACCACCAAGACGGACCATGTCACCCCGTGGTACCTCAACTACCTCGGCGGGAACTGGTCTGAGGCAACGCAGTGCATGACTGCTGGCAGCAATGGCTGGTTTGAAAACCACGCCGCCTGGAACTTTGGCTCAAACGACCACTGGGCCATGAACAACACTCCCTGGAGCATCGGATTTTATAAGAAGCAAGACCTTCCTACGCAGTGGGCCTTGGCTGAAAACTGGGTGATTGGAGACATGTACCAGGTAGACACCTCTGCTCGATTGTTTGCTTGCCGCAGGTGGCCTCAATATTGACAATGATAGGAATCCGTCGTTGCTTCCACCAACCCAAATCGTGTCAGCTGGGTTTCAGGCTCCATCAATGTCCCTGGTTCGCCGCAGAAGCCTGATCAAGGCGGCAATCCATATATTGATAACAACGAGACGCCCGGGTGCGAAAGCGGTGGTGTCAATTGCTTTCCGCTCAAGTGGAAGACTGTTGCCGAATACTATCAGGATGCGGGGGTGTCTTGGAATGTGTTTCAGGACGCCGATAACTTTGACGACAACCCATATGCTTGGTTTGATCAGTTCAGACGGTCCACCAAGGGCTCTGCCCTGTATGACCACGGCCTCAAAGGTTCTTCTCTTGACTCATTCTACGATCAGGCTGCCAAAGGAACTCTGCCCGAAATATCGTGGATTGTAGGCCCCATGCAACTATCTGAGCATCCGCCCTACTCTCCACACGACGGCGCCTGGCTGCAAGACACCATCACTCGGGCTGTTCTCAACTCGCCCAAGTACAACAAGACTGCTTTAATAATTTCATACGACGAAACCGGGGGCTGGTTTGACCATGTGAATCCCCATCATTCGCCTGACGGGACACCGGGAGAGTGGCTCAACGACCCGCAGGGCAAGGTTGGGCATACTTTTGCCGGCCCTGGCTTTAGACTGCCATTTTACATTATTTCCCCATGGACTCGCAATGGGGGCGTTTACACGGAGCACTCGGATCACAACTCACAAATTCTGTTCATCGAAAAGTGGCAGGCTGCCAAGGGCAAAAACGTCCAAACCAGAGAAATGGTTCCCTGGCGCCGCGAGAACATGGCTGATTTAACTAGTGCATTTGATTTCCAAAACCCAGACTACAGCATTCCTATTCTCCCAACTGCTCCTAAGCCACATGTCAATTCCAAAGGCCAATACGATGGATCTTCATACTGTCAGTCCAGGTTTCCAACCACCCGGCCTCCCGTTCCCTACACCGGAGACGGCGTCATCGAGGATCTCGCCACCGTGGTCGAGCACGGCTTCAAGCCAATCCGTGGCAAGCTCACCGAGGGACGCTACCTGGTGCTGGAAACGAATGGGCACTCATTGACCAACGCTGGGAGTAAGTCTACTGCGAGCGCAACCGTCACCAAAAGCACCTCAAACCACGACAACATTGCCCACAGATGGATTGCCCATGCCGCACAAATCGGAGGCGATGTCTTCACGTTGCAGAGTGCGAGCGACAAGCAGTATCTTTGCAAGGACGGGAGCCTCTGCGCCGACGCCAAGAACGCTGAAGCGTTTACGGTCCAATTCACCGCCAGCAAGGGATATAGCTGGAAGCAGCGGGATGGAGGCAAGTACCTGTCTGGTGATGGGGCCAAGCTTGACTTGTCTGGCGATGCCAAGTACTGGAAGATTTTCAGCGTCAGTTACTAATATTGGGCCGTGAGCAAAAATGCTACTCCTCAAGTAAGAGTGGGAAATATGTGTTTCAGGTACAGAGTACGGTATGTGGCCATGAGTTGGCATGGAGCTTGCTGGCGGGGACTGCATCGTCATGAGGCGTGTTCCCAATTACAAAAGTTGACATGTTTCGAGATGTGCCTGATAGTTGTATATATGGTAACATTCACCTTTATTTTAAGAGCATCACGGCTAGTCTCTATCTCTGGGATGGCTCGTATGATGATCCAGGGGTCATGTACATGATGGCACAGAATAAAGGTAACCAAATTATTCAGAATTGCAGCGGAGCTTGTTGATATTCCAACTTTATCGAAGTGGCTCTATGGCGTAAGCTAGCGGGTAAGCCCGTGAGGACATGTTGGCCGTGAATCAGAACCACGGACAAGGTACATGGAAGAATGGAAAAAACTTTGCCAACATGTCGGGTGCTTCCACTCCCCAGATGGTCGTTGAGCCAGAGAACCCCCATTGACCCCAAGGCATCTTGTCAGAACCCGCCGTTTCCCACACATGACGGCATTATTCCTGTGCCAGTTGTCGTTTTGCTTCCCTAGCATCCTCCCTAGACATGCCATGTTTAGCCATAAACTCCATCTTCTCCCGCTTCGTCGCCAGCTTCCGATACTCGTCCCCAAGCGGGGATATAACAGGAATGTAGTACATGTTACGGTTTGCGTCGCGATATCCATAGAGGTTTGGCCGCCATACTCGTCTTTTGGGTACCACTACCTCGCTATTCTCCGCGGGCCCTGGAATATCGCCAATACTTTTATCTTCAGGACCCTCCAGGACAGCACCGGTTAAGCTCATCCCCGCAGAGCTGCCGGCCAGACAAGGCTCATCTCTCGAGCTGCTGCTGGTAATAATCTGGCGGCAAGGATCATCGCCACTCCTGGCATAGAGAACGGAGCTGGTCTCCTCATCGGCTTGGTTGCTTTTGACGCTATCGAACAACTTGTTCTCGTCGCCCATGCAACAGTTACCAAGTGGATTATCTTCGCAGACGACGGAGATGCTCGGATTCGAATCATGACAGTTACAATTTGGCCGACTGTCCTCAGTCGATTCCCACAGAGTAATGTCGACTGGACCGTCTTTATCATGACATGCTTTGGTTGATTGAAATGAGTCCATATTGTTTGTGACAACCGTAGACGCTGACACTGAAAGATATTGGAAGGTGATTAAAAGTGTGATACGAAGCATTTTAAATACGCAGGTAATTATGGTAAAAGGTGTGGGTGACTACTAAGCAGGTCCGTGTGACTAGCGTTTGTACCTTGGAAGCTTGTGGCTTGCAATTAGATTTTTGAAAAGAGAAAAAGGTCAAGTTTTTTCTTTCAAGTTTTCTAGTTTGCCCCTACTTTCATCGCAATACGAGGCTGGACGCTGGGTGAAGACAGTATTCGGGCATCAGAATCGCGTCCATCGGGTTCGTTGGCAATCGTACAGGGCACCGCGCCCGTGTCAATCAACTGGCACGCCCGCAGCACAGACATCAATTGATGTTTTGCCAGGCATTGGGTGTCACAATTGGGAGGTATGGATTGAACTGTAGAGTGCCTTGAGCCATGGGAGGGTGGCCTCCTTCACAGAAAATGCCTAGGTTCAAATGATCAAAAAGGACAGAGTTTTCGGTTTGGTAGTAGGTTTGCTAGCTGGCTTCTAATTAATGCATATGTACAAGCTAAGCTGAGCGTAGTAGGTAAAACAATAGCCAGATGACTCACTCGTTGACAATGGAGCCAGTATGTTATTGGCCTGCGTGGTGGCGTGTCTCAACTGCGACGGCGATGTGATTTTTTGATAGTCTTGACTCTTTGGTCTTTGGTGTCATATGACGGAGCCTTGCCGGGGAAAGAGTAGCGCGAAATGGAAAAGAGTTGTACTCATCCACCTCGTCTCAGAGGAGATGTGAATCGAGTACTTGGGATTGTGGCGTGTGCGCCGTGCATGTTGCTGTCAAAGTCTAAAGAGGAAATTGATCATTTCAATGTTTGCCATGGGCCGTTCCTAGCGCCGTTTGCCAAGCCCCACTTTGGGTGCTGGACTTGCACAGCACTAGCACTGCCCAATTGACGCCACTTTGCGGTTTGTGAAGTCAAGTTCAAATGCTGGCACCTGGCGGCACCTGGTGCTCGGTTTGCTCACGGCGAAAGCCATTTATTGACCGGGGCCAAACTTTCACTTCAATGTTATAACTTGGCATGTCAATATTACAGAAGACCGGGCCTGTGGGCAGCCCCACCAACTCGCTTGGCCGTTTGCTTGCCATCTGTCCCTGTCTTGCGTTCTCTTTTGTGCGTGACATCTGGAGCAATTTCACACTCATCATCATCACGCCCAAATCAACGAGACCCAACAGCTTCATCTCACGGGGCTTCTCCCAGGGCATCTCCCCATGCCGGAAAGGTCGTCTCAACCACAGCTGCTGGAGGCTGTATTTGACCATCTGGTCTTGCCGCCCAGGCTTCCAGCAGCTCCAGAAAACGACTCTGTTCCGCTCAACCGGGAGCTGACCGCGCGCTTCCTCGACGCTTGCAAGCAGATGAGGTGTCGTGAAACCGACAACCTTTGGAACACGGTAGAGGCATCCTTGCTCCTGACGCAGCATCTGAACCAGGACCTCGCCTCCAAGGAATCTCTGGTGGCAGCATTCTCCCAAGTTGCTCAAAACGAATCCGTTGCCTGGCTTGTCCTTCACGCTTTGCAGCAAAACGCTGTCATCATCATTCACAAAAACAACGAGTGCGTATCTTATGTAGCTTGCTGTAGACTTGTTCCTCACTGACAAGTTGCATAGCACCAACGAGGTGGTTTTCGAGGCATTCGAGGCTTCACCTACTGCTCTGGCTGTACTCGAAGCCAACCACGCCCTTCAGTGGACTTTTCCTGGTCGTTCCGTTGCTATAGCTGAGTCCGAGTTCAGCAAAGATTCGTTCCAGCATGCTCTTGCAGACTTCTTGGAGCAGGCCAGTGAGGTTGCCTTGGACAAGTTTGCAGCCCGAGCATCCAAGGGAGGGGACATGGTTGTCGAGTCACGCGATACTCCGAGCCCGGCGCTCATCACCGAAATGCTCTTGTCGTTTCTTGAGGCCACGGGGAGGGCCTTTCCAGTCCATGCCGTTCAAAAACGCGTCAGAGACGACGTTGTGCTTAGATCGCCCGAAACTCCTTGGAGGCGGTCTCCTTACTGGCTGGCGCTTCGAGTTGCCGTCCAGCGAATTCTGTTGACTTCATGCGGCGATGATATCCATACAAGTCGCGTCCACTTCAAGTTTGCCATGTGCGTCGTCTTTGCTCATCTTTTGACTGACTGCCAGCCCGCTCTACATCCCGAAAAGACTCTCATGTTGCAGGCCAAATTGTGCCGTCGCCTGGCCAAGCTGCAAACTGCCATGTCTGGAGCTCCCGCTGCGCTCCAAAAACTATACGAAAGAGAGTTCTCCAAGACAAGATCCTTTTTCGAATCCACTCTAGCCAACGCCAAGCGGGCCATGACAACTCTCTGGGACGCCCACAAGAGAAGGGCAACTCGTCCCATACCACTTCTTCCCGTGCGCGCTCCCAGCAGCGATCTGGTCTTGAAATTACAAAACAGCCGCAGTAAGCTACAGAGCCTTTTGACTACCGGGGTAGAACCACCCAAACGACAGGGTCTCCTCGGCCCTCCCTCGCTCGCTGAAGGAACAGTGTCTCAGGTCGACAAGCTCGCAACCCAATGCTCCAAGCTCATCGTCTGCGACAGCGAAACAATGTCGGTGCTACATGGTTCATTTCCTTCGCCCGAAGCTAAATGTATCAAGCTTTCTTCGACAATGCTCAATTACATGAAAAAGGTTGGTTACTACTACCGCAACAATGAGATTCTCATGAGCCAGTATCTGCTCAATCTTTTTGAGCTTTGGGTTGCTATCGACTCTCTAGCAACCACGATTTGTCCCCTTCTCCGAGACTATCACCCCGTATTTGTTCCCGAGGCTATAGACATGCTTTGTCTCATGACAAGAAACGACATGGAGCGACTCCGCCATGTGCAGCGATATATATCTGACCGCATCAAGCGCTGCAAGACCGGCCATGGGACCATCTTCAGTCACCCCGGTTGTACCGCGGCTTTCCCTGCAACACTTTTCCGAGACAACGATGACAGCTTTGGCCTGCAACCTCTCAGTTCACAGATTGGAAATGCGTATGCAAAGTCCGCGCAGGCCAAGAAAATAGAACTAGATCAACTCATGGCCAGATACGAGGAATTATCAGACCAAATTCAGCAGGGGGTCTGTTGTTGCAGTCGCATGCAGAACGGCCGTCTCATTGGGAACCGCTGTGAAAGATGCCGGCAGGCGCGTCGTCGTAAGCGCCTTAAAATCATGGTTCATGAGGCATTCCTTCCCGAAGAAAAATCGGCCAAAGCGGCCATTTTGCTCGAACTCAGCATGCCCGAATATCTCTGCTTGTATCGGGATGCGACCTGGGCATTGAGGATGTTGGGAGTGAAGGAATTTGAGGAAAGTTGTGCGAATACCTATTTAGAGGACTTGGAACCTCTGCGGGAATTTGAGCACAAAAATGTGTCAACCTCGATAACTTTGGCATCTCATCAGAAGTCTTTTTTGCAAACACATTATCGTAAGCAAAAGATGCCCAAGTCTGAAGATCAAGTGCTATTGCCCTTTGGTCCGGATTTTGCATACTATGACCAAGAAAACTGCATATGGCCGCACGAGCATGACGAGGCACCCTGGTATCATCATTTACTCGGTTCTTGGCTTCCTGAAAGTATTTTAGATCCATTTGCCGACGCTTCGTTATACATGGACAACTCAGAGCACCCGAGCTCCTATGAGATTGCGGCTCACCAAGATGCATGCCCCCGAGACATGTCTCCCCATGAGTACACAGCATATCAGCGAGCCATCTCGGGCGTATACAGACGATGGATTGTGCTTGTCTCTGAGCTTGGATCGACAAATCTGAATCCCAGCAGCGACACGACGTTCAAGTTCTTTACACGATTGGCATTACAGTCTGGTCCAGATCAGACGTCGGAAATCTTGGGCAAAGTCCATTCTATTTTCCACGATGTGGCATTCTGCGAAAGATTAGAGCACCAGATTCGACTACGTCTAAATGCCCTGCGTTCTGGCCGAAAAGACCTAATCTGCATGAGCACTCTCACAACTCTCAGCCTACGATTGCACAACTTGTGCCCCAGTGATTTCAGGTCAAACGTGGCCAAGTTGCTCCGTCAAACCCGGGAGGTTCTGTCTCTCTGGATATCTCAGCTTCGTGATGAATTGAGGCACACAGACAACGGGGAGACGGCGCGGAAAGCAGCCCACAGTGCATTTGGCGCCGCAATGCTTTACCGCCAAACTTTTGACATTTTTCTGGCCCCCGACAATGAGCCTCGGTTTGGGGGGGAAGAAGCCCTCCATTTTTTCCGGGCATCCATCGCGCTCTCGGAGAATCTCATTGTAAACCTAGACGACGTCCCCCCCCAAATAAAGCAACTACTGGTTCAGGATATGAAGAGGGCTTACTCCATGAGCGACAAGATCAGAGCATGGACGCTTTCAAATTTTTCTGCATTGGAGACAGTCATCAATGAGACTTGGACAGATGCGGGGAGCACGGAGTCTCGTTCATTTTCAGAATGGAACTTCCTCAATAAGGGGCATTGGATGGCATCAAGAACCGTTGGAACGGGACTGGTCGCCTCCCAGACCGTTCACTATCATGCTCTCCAGGGACATCTCTTGATAGATGGTAAGCCGTTGGGCAGACTACCCCTCAAGATCAGAGATGACAAGAATGTCTTGGAGCTTTTCCAGGGGCAACACCTACTTACAAGACCCTCGGGTATGGCTGGAATGGAATATCAGATCGTCAACAGTGTCAGCAACCACGACGTCCACGTTGGGATCAGAAAAGGCAAAGTGGTCATTCGTGCCAAATTCAGGGGCTACATCATGGAGCATGTTCCTCGAGAGATCTTCAAGGGCGACACAGTGCCGGACCTTCCTTCTGGGCTAGTTGATGGCTGCGTGCACTGGTTGAACTTGCGCACGGGTACGCTTGAGATGCGTCGAAAGCCAAACATATGGTCCTCAAAGTCTTCCAACTGGGTC